GTTCTCTTCAGGAAAAATCCTATTAAGGCTACCTTGTCATGAAACAAGGCCTACGATATCTGAAAATTTCGATAGGAAGGTTCTCAGGTAACGCGGAACAAAGTGATTTTGTGGGTATGCTACTAAAGATCGTTCTAAATTGAAAAATACCCGGGTGAAAAACGTACGAACATTCCTCAGAAATACAACTGCTTAGAACAGCAGTTGGTTCCTCACTAAGCTATCAACAAATAAATGCTACAAGGCTTCGAAATCTTGGAGCGGCTGTTTTCGCAATACAATACAGACAACATGCCAAAAATGTAAAAATATATATATAAAACAATATATATAAAAAATTAACCCCTATATATTCTACAAAAAAACATCCCTACCAAAAAAATGAATATAAGGCAACTTCACTAACTATATTGATTAGATATACTGTCATTACAAAAAAAGTGTTCATTATATTCCCCGACTGACGAAGTCTGGGAAAATATACTTCAGTAAATTGTTTACCAATTCTAATAATCCTAAATATTGAGAGGTTTCTTACTCTTTGCACGAAACATGTGTACCTCGTTAAAGCTACTGTGCAAAATAATAACTTGTTTAATGCTTTATAAAATTCTCCTTGTGGACTTCTATAGTCCACACTACCTTTACAACTGCCTAAAATGATCTACCTTTTTTGGTATAACTAGAGGATAAAAACGTCCATTTTCATGCAATTAACATTGAGTTTTGGCTTTTCATAGGTACAAATTAAAAAACCTTCCCCCCTTCAAGTATACATATATATAAAAAGGAAAATCGTCTTCTTTAATGTAGGCCAATGAAAAGGATTAAATCCTGGAAGAGTTAACAAAAAGTAGTCAATCCAATTGTCCATAATTATAATTATAGTATTCCTATTACTTAAAAGGAAAATTGATAACTTTCAACTTCAAGTCCCATACCTTCGTATAAGCTAGTCACTTCCAATACGCTAACACATGCAAATGACTGGAAATATCTCCTATTTCTTCTAATGGATAGGAGCTGGATAAGAACGGCGTAAGCTTAATAAGGTTTGGAAAACGTTAGAGAAATGCCATAAATCAAATGTATCGTAAGACTATCCATCGATTTATCAAGAACGTTCTAGAAAAATTGTAATTCACAGCTTTATATGGGCGTGTGGTCACATGATCGCTTAAAACTGTTAAAATCTGTTAGCACCTGTTATAAAGTTGTTCTGTCAACAGAACCCTGCGGTGACAATTAACCTTTTTGTTAATCATTTCCTTGATGATATCTTTAATTCATTTTCATAAATCCTTGCCTTAAAACTCCGTCCTGGAGCCATCTTACACAAAGTCACCGTTCAAAGCAGTTGTTCACATGTANTCTTACAAAACGTCACCGTTCCAAGCAGTTGTTCACATATAAAGCCAACTGGAGATCTTGCACGTTAATTCCTTACTTTCTCAAGAAAACCTTTTAAGGTATATGGTACATGTACTAAACATTTTGATAAGATTGTTCATAACAGAAGCATATCACCTAGCTAAGTGATATGCTTCTTTTCATAATCATCATAAGCCTAGTTCAATTCACTATTGTTACCTGAAAACTACTATTATGTAAGCCGTTGAAGAAACGTCATTCATTAATACGTACTGGACTAGAATAATCAAACTTACATGTAGTTTGGGCATACCAATGTTATATATCAAATGTATCATAAGATTATCCATCGATTTATCAAGAACGTTCTAGAAAAATTGTAATTCACAGCTTTATATGAGCGTGTGGTCTCACGGTCGCTTAAAACTGTTATACACCTGTTAGCACCTGTTATAAATTTGTTTTCCCAACAGAATCCTGCGGGGACAATTAACCTTTTTGTTAATCATTTTCTTGATGATATCTTTAATTCATTTTCATAAATCCTTGCCTTGTAACTCCGTCCTGGAGCTATCTTACACAAAGTCACCGTTCAAAGCAGTTGTTCACATGTACAGCCAACTGGAAATCCTGCTAACTCATTCGCTACTTTCTCTAAAAAACACGTTAAAAGGAATATGGTATCTGCAATAAATGTTACCAAGATCTTTGTTAAAAATATTCTAAACTATTATCCTGATAACATCCTTACATGTAATGGTCATTTTCCTAAACTACAAAAAAATCGCTTAATTCACCACTGTACAGTTAATTGAAAACATTACCATCGTGTAAGCTGCTGAAGAAACCTCCCTCCAATACTATATATTGGACTGGAATAATCAAGCTTACATGTAGTTTAAGCATACCAATGTAGCAATGACATGTCATTACACTGGTTCCTCAAGTTCTTCAATAATCTCTTCCATATTTGGTCTGGCCTCAGGATCTGATTGCAGACATCCCCGTATGA